TTTTGGGGCATGAAAAAAAATATTATTTTTTCAAACTTTATTGGTATATTCAGGGTAAACGACGTTCGGGACGGGCCGAACGCCCGAACCCGAACCCGAACGCCCGAACGTATGGGACTCCTTGGGAATGCGTTTAGCCGTTCGGAACGAACGCAGACAAAAAAAAAAAAAAAAAAAGTTATGAAAAAAAAACAAATTAAGCAAGATTTGTCTGAGCATTACATCCAAATTCCTTACCAAATTTGAAATAAAAATAAAATAAATACTAATAATAAAAATAACAAAAAAAAAACAAAACTATATTTAGCAAATGAGCGAGCACGTTTTCAACACCACCATCTTTGGAGATTTTTCTTTTTTTTTTTTGGCAGAGCTAAATGCCCTGAAAATTTACAGATGTGTACTTCTTATAATGCAAAACCCACTAAAAAAAGTTTCAAAAAATAATAAAATTATTTAGACCTTGAACTAAAGTGAAAACAAAAAGTMAAAAGTGAAGAAAAACGTGGGCGAGCACGTTTTGAGACCGCCATATTTGGCGATTTTTAATTCTTATTTGGCTAGCCAAAAGACTTAAAAATTTATAGGCATATACCTCATCTCATAGAGGACTCACAAAACAAAAATTCAGAAAAAAATAGTTCTTTTTAGACCCCGAAATAATTTTTGGCGAGGGCCGAATGTCGTCAAGTTCGGACCCTGTACTGGACCCCGAACGCCCGTACGTACGGAGATATGCCCGGGGAACTCCGTACGTACGGGCTGGTGACCCTGGGTACATTCTCTATTATATGAGATACACAAATTTAATTTTCATGGCATTTGTCACAGCCAAAAAAAAAAGAAAAATCACCTAAGCTGGCAGARWMMAAAAMRAMMWMAMMCAWTCAAWAAWKTTTTTTTTTTTTTTTTTTTTTTTTAAATCATTATTATTATTGATTTTTAGTATTTGATTTTTATTTCAAATTTGATAAAAAATTTGGATGTAACGTTGAGGCGAATGTTGTTTAGTTTATTCTTCTGTATAACATATATTGTTTCCATATTTTTCGGATTTTAATTTTTTTTTTTTTTTTTTTGGGTCCGCGTTCAACTGATTGGCCGAACGATTTAAAAGGGGGTGACGAACGTTCGGGCGTTCAGCCCGTCCCGAACGCCGGTAACCCGTCACGAACACCTGGCAAGCCGTTGGTTGTGTGTTCGAGTCTTTTATTTGGATTACACGTGCTTTCGCGCGGTAACCACCGTAGAGATTGTACAATGTGCAGTGTGGCTGTGTAGGGGTGAGTGTGGCTGGGTACACCGTGTCACGCAATCTACGTGCTGGGGTGGGGTGAAGTGCTCTTCTTCGAGCTTCACTTACACCCCAGCCCACTTAGCCTTATGGTTAGGTGTTTGTCTGCCAACCCATTGGTTATGTTCAAGTCTTGTATTCGGATTACACAAACGTACGGAGGCCCCTAAGCTGAACCCCGAATGTTTGGGCATTCGGGTGCCCCTATGGGGATTGAACCTGAAGGGGTTCGGACCCCGCAAAAAAATATTTTGGCACCTAAATATTATTGTTTTTTTCTGAACGTATTTTTGGTGAGTTCTTTGTGATGTAAGATATCTCCCTCTTAATTTTGAAGCCATTTTGTTCAGCCAGAAAAAAATAAAAAAATATCGGCAAAGATGGTAGTGTCAAAGCTTGCTTGCCCACTCACTCATTTTTTTTTTTTTCTCTTTTTTCTTTTTGCTTATCCTTTATTTCTCAAACTTTATTAGCAAATTCTCTATTATGTAAGATACTCATATATATATATTCATCGCATTTATCAAAGCCAAAAACGAATAAGAATCTTCAACGATGGCGGTGTCAAAAACGAGCTTACCCGCTCAATAAATTCATTCTCATTTTTTTTTTTTTAATTTTTATTATTATTATTTATTTTCAATATGTAATTTTTATTTCAAATTTGGTAACTAATTTTGATCTAACATGGAGGTAAATGTTGGTTAGTTTATTCTTCTGCATAAAATATA